CCCTCCTCCACGCACCTTCACAGCTATATCTTTGACTTACTTCAGGTATTGACTCAAAGCCCCCATCCGGTGGACCTTCCCTGGACACCCTAAAATGTCAACACCGCATTAAGCCAGGCATTTCTTGGTCCCCTTCCCTGCTCTGCAGCTCTCTTTCATTTATCCCTATCTATCTAACACACTGTAGATTTTACTCAGCGCTCTCGTTTACGGTCTGTGTCCCTCACTAAGATGAAAGCTTCATGAGTGCAGAACTTCATCAGTCTACCTGCCCCGTCAGAACAGTGCCTGGCGCACAGGAGACGTTCGGTGAACATTTACTGACGAGTGAATAAATGAAGTCAGGGAAAACTAGGCAGGAATCTGAATGAGCAAGTGCCAAAGGCAAATGTCAACTGCCTCATTAACTGCAGTCAGGACCCTTCCAACTGTGGCCCTGCCCCCGCATGCCAGTCTCACCCAGGACCCCGCATCCTAGAGGCTGAGCCAAGGCCAGGCACTCCGAAACTTCAACTGAAGCCCACGCACGGCTGTGACACGGCAGCTCACACAACAGAGCAAAAGCCATAAAAATAGAACGAATACTTTCTACGTTGCTTTTGGGCCCATCTTACTTTGGGGAATGGACTCTTCAGCTGAAGCATCTGAATAGAAATGCCAAGATCCAAATTGTAAGCAGTGGGTTACTCAAAATTTATGAATGCTTTCTCGCCAGCAAACTACATAAAAATATATTTATGCATTTTATTAAAAAAAAAACTGTAATTAAGCCTAATGCAGTTGATTTCAGAGCATGCCTAGAACCATTAAAAGTTACTATTCTGAAATACTTGTTTTTAAATCATTTAAACTCTATCTTCACATACGCATAGGTTATACTTGGAAGGATTCACAAGGCAATACAATAGTGCTTGCCTCTGGGAACCGTTAGGTGCTCAGGAGGAAGGAGTGGGTGGGAGGAGTTTGTTACCTTTTGGAATTTGTGTCATGTTAATGTATAATTTATGCAAAAATAACGCATTAAAATTTCAAAACAAATCAATCATACAATACCTTAAAATAATGAAAAAAATCTATCTACGTTGTCAAGCCAGCTTTAGAAGAAAACCTCTTTTTACCTATATTTTGAAGATAAGCAGATCCAGGTTGTCAAATCAGCATAAGAAACAGAAGGCATATTTTTAGACTGACAAGTGTTTGAACAAGTCACCAGCAGTGGCGGTAAGATCTTGCTTCCCACCCAAAGCCCCTCTTCATGCTTCCCCTGTTTACGCAAGAGCCACGTGTGTGAACCTGCATGACATCCACCTCCTGAAGAAGCACTACACTGAAAGCCTGGCATGGGTGGTGATTATCAATTACTTGCTGTAGAAAGAAGTCAAAATGTTAAAAAGAATTTTTTTTCTGTAAGTATTCAAAGAGGTTTTCACCTCTTAGAAGAAAAACTCACTTCTAAATTTTATTCTAATAGATAAGGCAACATTACTCCTCAAATCCTCATCTTCTAATTAAATTCTCAGGACACGGCAAGGATCGTATCAGAAACAAAAACAAGAAAACATTGCTAAAAGTTAACCAGTCTTGATTAATGTGAGCTTCTTAAAAGGCGCTGCTTCTCGAGAACTGACCTCAAGTCAGTTCTCACTTGAGGAACTAGCAAACCTCCGGATCAAAAATAAAGTGCCCCGAGGTGAGAGAAAGGCCTGGGCTCAGCACAGGAAGGCTGCAGGCTGCAGGCTAAGTACTTGCGTTCTGTAAGGAGGTGCTATTAATGGTCTCTCTTCTTCTGTTTCAAAAATTCTCCCACGCGCAAGCATCAGACACCCCTATTATTCAAGCAGTACCAGGATGTCAGCAACGAAGCAGCAGACGCCCATGAGGTGCAGACACCGTGCATCAGCGAGCTGGACCACGACGCTGAGAAAATATGCATCGCTCACCGCCCCCCCGTCCCGCCCCCAGCAGCAAACCCTTCGGTCAGCAACGGGTCGTTTTTATTTACAAGTGAAAACAAGCAATAAACTTTAGTCAACTCCTCCCGATATTTAAGTCAGTTTTGTTACTTCTCACTTGTTAATGACAATAACCACCTAAGTAGGTCCCAACTCATTAGAGTGCGCGCAGCCCAAACTTGAGCTTAGACAAGCCCGACACTTAAAATCCGCTTACTACCGCGGCGGCTCCCAAATAAATAAAAGGCCCCAAGAACGTGGGGACACAGTCTCGAGCCGCGGGCTGATCAACCGGCCCCCGGCAAAAGGACTCTCCCTCGGACCGCGCCCGCCCGCCCCGCCAGAGGCATGATGTCATGCGCTGCCCCCGCCACTCCGGCTCCAAGTCCCGGCTCCCCGGGAAGCGGCCCGGAGGAACCAAACGGGACGCGGGCTCGGCTCGGCCAAGCTCTGCTCACAACACAGCTGCGGTTTCACGCAAACAGAGCAGCAAGTTCCTTCCCCAACTTCGCACGCTGGGGACAGGCGGGGGCTGCGGCCTGAGCGCCTCGGTGCCGGCAGGGGTGGCTGTGGCCGCCCGCGAGGGCCGGGGGCGGCCCGGGACG